CAGGTGATCTTCCCACCTCTGAGACACTGTGCTCAGCTGTTTTTTTTTTTTTTAACAGAAAGTATAAAGGATGCTATAACAAGCATCTGCATTTGTCAAATATTAATATTTTGCCTTATTTACTTTAGATAGTTTTTTAAAAGAAATATGCTATTGCAGATGCAGCTGAAGTCCTGTGCTGATTCCATTTCCCTTCCCTCATCTACTGCCTTGAGCTTGCTGTTTATCTTCCTCATGAGTAATTTCACTCCATCACTCCATATGTAGGTACCCATAAACACCATATGTTACTGGGGTTTTTTGGCCTGTTTTTGCACTTCTTGTCAGTGGCATCACACAGTATGTGCTGCTTTTGCTCAGCATAACGTCTGTAACATTCTTCCAGGTTGTTCTGTGTATCAATTGTTCGTTCTTTTTTTTCTTTTTATTGAGATGTGATTCACATATCATAAAATTTACTCTTTTAAAATGTACTATTCACTGGTTACTATATTAACAAGGTTGTGCAACTATCCACTCTCTACTTCCAGAATATTTTCATCACCACCCCCGCAGAAGAAAGCCTAAACCCATTAACATTCACTCCCTATTCCATATCCTCCTCCCCTCCAGGCTCTGGCAACCACTAATCTACTCTTTGTTTCTATGGATTTGCCTGTTCTGAGCATTTCCTATAAATGCAGTCATACAATATGTGGTATTTTGGAACTGCCTTCTTTTCACTTAATAAAAAGTTTTTAAGGTTCATTGATGCTGTAGCATGTATCAGTACTTCATTCATTTTCATGGCTGAATAATATTCCACTGTATGAAAATACCATATTATACTATCCATCCATTGACAGGCATTTTTAGCTATTATGAATAATGCTGCTATGAATGTTCATGTAAAAGTTTTTATGTGAACATATGTTTTCAGTTCTCTTGGAGATATAACTAGAAAGGGAATTGTGGTGTCATATGATAATTCCAAGTTTAACTTTTTGAGGACTGTAAAAGTGTTCTCCACAGTAGCTGTATGAGGGGTCCAATTTAGCCACATTCTCTCCAACACTTGTTACTGTCCCTCTTCTTGATTATAGCCATCCTAGTGGGTATGAAGTGGTATTTCATTGTGGTTTTGATTTGCATTTCCCTATGACTACCACTGATGTTGGGCATCTTTTCATATGCTTTTTGACCATTTATCTTCTTTGGAGAAATGTCTATTCAAATCCGCTTATTTTGAATTGGGTTATTTGTCTTGTTGTTGTTGAGTAGTAAGAGTTCTTTATATATTCCAAATCCTAGGCTTTTTATAGATATGTGATTTGAAATATTTTATTCTATTCTGTAGGTTATCTTTTCAGTTTCTTAAGAGTGTCCTTTGAAGCACAAAAGCTCTTAGTTTTGATGAAGTCCAATTTATCTAGTTTTCTTTAGCTGCGTATGCTTTAGATGTCATTTATCCAAGAAACTGTTGCCTAATCCAAGGTCATGAAGACTTATACCTGTGTTTTCTCCTAAAATTTTTAAAGTTTTAGCTCTTACATTTAGGTCTTTGATTCATTTTGAGTTAATTCTTGTATATAGTGTGAGGTAGGGGTTTGCCTTCATTCTTTTGCATGTGGATATCCAGTTGTCCAAGCACCATTTGTTGAAAAGACTATTCTTTCCCTATTGAATGGTCTTGGCATACTTGTTGAAAATCAATTGTCTATAACGTATGAGTTTATTTCTGGACTCTCAATTCTATTTCATTGATCCATATGTCTATTTTTATGCCAGTACCACACAGTCTTGATTACTGTAGCTATGTAGTAAGTTTTTAAATTGTGAGGTGTGAGTCCTCCAACTCTGTTTTTCTTTTCTAAGATTTTTGTAGCTGTTTGGGGTCCCAGCACTTCCATGTGAATTTTAGGATCAGCTTGTTAATTTCTTTAAAGAGACAAGCTGCGATTCTGATAGGGACTGCATTAAATCTGTAGATCAATTTGGGGAATATTATCATCTTAACACTATAATGTTAGATCGGGGCGCAGTGGCTCACCTGTAATCCTAGCACCCTGGGAGGCCAAGGTGGGAGGATTGCTTGAGCCCAGGAGTTTTAGGTTACAGTGAGCTATGATGATATCACTGCACTCTAGCCGGGGTGACAGAGTGAGAATCTGTCTCAAAACAAAAACAAAAACAAAAACAAAAAAAACCACGATAAAGTCTTCCAATCTATGAACATAAGATGTATTTACATTTATTTAGGTCCTCTTTAAATTCTTTCAGTGACATTTTATAGTTTTCAGTGTATAATTCTTACCCTTCTTTTGTTCATTTTATGGCTATGTATTTTATTCATTTTGATGCTGTAGTAAATGGAATAGTTTTCTGAATTTCATTTTTGGATTGTTAATTGCTAGTGTATATGATTAAGTTTTGTATGTCTTGTATCATACAAAATCTTGTATCCTGCAACGTTGTTGAGACTAAATATATGAGCATATATATTATGGTGCTGTAATGGTTTTTCTGTGGATTCTTTAAGATTTTCTATGTGCAAGATCATGTCATCTGTAAACAGAGATAGTTTTACTTCTTCCTTTCCAATACAGATACCTTTTATTTCTTTTTCTTGCCTAATTGTCCTGGCTGGAACCTCCAGTACAATGTTGACTAGAATTGGTGAGAGGGGACATCTTTGTGTTGTTCCTTTCAGACTTTCACCATTAAGTATGATGTTAGCTGTGGGTTTTTCATAGATGCCCTTTATCAGGCTGAGGAAGTTCTCTTCTATTCCTAGTTTGTTGAGTGTTTTTGTCATGAAGGAGTGTTGAGTTTTGTCAAATGCTATTTCTGCATCTACTGAGAAGATCATGTAGTGTTTGTCCTTTATTCTATTAATATGACATATCACATCAATTGATTTTTGTGTGTTGAACAAACCTTACATTTCCAGGATAAATCCCACTTGGTCATGGTGTAGAACCCTTTTCATATGTTGCTGGATATTATTTACTTGTATTTTGTTGAGCATTTTTGCAACTATATTTATAAGAGATGTTGGTCTATAGTCTTCTTTTATGTCTTTGTCTAGTTTTGTGATCAGAATAATGATAGCTTCATAAGTTCATTCCCTTTTATTGCTAAGTAATATCCCATGGAATCGATATACCACATTTAGTTAACCATTCATCTGGTGATGGACATTTTGGTCGTTTCTAGTTTTTTTCCATATTATAGCAAATCTGCAATTTACAAACTCATATTCCTCTCTCTGTACACACACATGTGAAGGAATTTCTTCAGAGGGCAGGAGATATTAGTCCATCTACCCATTCATCCATCCATCCACCTATCTATCTACCCTCCACCCACCCATTCATTCATTCACCCATCTGCTAGTCCTCCCTCTCTCCCTCTGGCCTTCCCTCCCATCCTTCCTCCCTCCCTCCCTCCTTTCTTTCCATCCATAAATCATCTATCTCTATGCATATAATGTCTAGAGTTATGCCTAGGGTCCATGGCAAGCTGTCTTTTAAAATTAGGCAGAAAACCTGATACAGCTTTTGGCAAAGCCTTTTATGTGCTGAAACCCACATCCTCACACTTCCTCTCTTCCTAGCATTTTTTGGGGCTTTGCTCACAGGGTCTGACTGGCTCTTCAGAGACCAGAGTCCACAAGACTAGGGGCTCCTTTACTTCAAGAGACTCTCATACATGCTCCTTCGTCCGTCACTCATTCACTCAGGAATTCCTTCACTTCCCTTTCTTTCTTGCCTGACTCATTTGCCTGTGCCTCCTCTTGTTTCAGAACTCTAAATGTCCTCGGGCGTCTTCTCTAGCTGACATTTTCTCTCTTGGTGAATTCATCCAGTCTCTATCTTCAAAACATCTCCAGAATCTAACCACTTTTTAAAATCACCTCCCCTGCCCCCACAGTCATGGTGCCTGGACCACTGACTGCAGTGGCCTCCTCCTCACATGTCGCCTGCTTCTGCCAGAGGGAGCCTGTTAAATCCTGAGTCAGATCATGTCCCTCTGCTCGCACCCTCCTGTGGCTCCCCCTTACTCGGAGTAAAAGCCAAAGCCCTCAGTCTGGCCCCCACCCAATCTGCACCCTTCACTTCCCCACTGGCCTCCTCACTGTTCCTCACACACAACAGGCACGTTTATGCCTCAGGGCCTTTGTACCTGCTGATCTCTGCCTGGTGTGCTCTTCCCCCAGCTAGCTCTGTGGCTCACTCCCTCACCTCTTCAGGTCTGGGCACTTTCTTGGACCATCTCATTAGGCATCAGAAACTGCCCCAGCAATTTTTATCTGCATTCCCTCTTTTCCATGCTTTCTTTTTCTCCAAAGCACTTATCAGCCTCTAACATAGTTAATATTTTACTTACTTAATTTTATTGATTTTCTGTTTTCCACTAGAATGGCAGCTCCACAAATAGAGATGTGCTTATCTCTGTTGTTCAATGCTGTCTCTCCAGTGCCAGGAACAGGGGCCTAGCTCATAATAGGTGCTCCACATATGTTTTTTAGTTGATTGAATGAGTGAATGGTGTGGTGGTGGTGGAAGGGGACAGAAACAGAGGAAACTTGACCTTGTTTCACCTACTCTGTCAGGAGCTGAGCCTCACTTGGGATGAGTCTGGACCTACCAGATCCAAAGGGAAAAAGTGCTGAATACCCTGGAAGTGAGACCAGAGAAGGCTCTCCAGGAGGAGGTAGTATCATCTGGGGCTGGTCCTGGAAATTACAGTGGGAGTCATAGAGATACTGGGGTTCAGTGAGGCCCAGGGGTGGAGGAAACAGTAGGCAGCAGCTGGAGGAGAGAGGCAGGTTAGAAAAGGATGAAGAAGGATTGAGTTCACCGGCAAGGAGGACCTTGAATCCCAAGGGGACAACACTGGATTTGGTCCTCGGAGATGTCATACCCTGGCCGTGGACCTCCAAACAGCTCAGAGAACTCACACCCTAAACACACACCCATACATAGCACTGAGACAATAATAATGAAGCGCTCACATTAATCGAGGGGCTATTCATTTATTGGGGCAGCTGGGATAGAGGGCATGCAGACATATAGCTGTGGTCTCAAACCTGTCTTGGGTCCCCTCAGTAGGATGTGTGAAGTGCCTAAACCATTAGTGTTCAGAGGTCTCTGGGCGTGGGCAAGGGTTTGCAGGAAGGAAGGGAGAGGGAAACATCTTGGGGAACAGAACAGAGGAGGGCCAGCCTCGATCATGATGACATGTAGTTGGATACCTCAATCAGATTTCTGTCAGGGTCCCGGAAGTAGATGGACATAATAGGCCCTTTTGCCCCCGTTCTGGGGACTGGACCCTCCTCAATGGGGACATCACAAGCCTGAAGTGGGAGGAAAAGACAAAAGTCATTTGTCATAGTTCATGCATGACACCGAAATTTAATTCCTTATAGTGGCCTAGAAGACCTTAGAGCACTCCTGTATCTTTCTGACCTCATCTTCTACCAGCCTCACCTCTTTCACTCTGTTCCAGCCACTTACCAGCTGTGTGGCCTTGGGCAGAGTGCCTAACTGCCCCATACCTCAGTTTCCTCATCTGTAAAATGGGGAGGATAATAATACCTAGTATTATCTATTAAATAGTTAGTGGCAGAGCCAGAATTCAAACCCAGGCAGTCTGGGCCAAAGTCCATACTCTTTTTTTTTTGAGACAGAGTCTTACTCTGTCACCTGGGCTAGAGTGCATTGGTGTCAGCCTAGCTCACAGCAACCTCAAACTCCTGGGCTCAAGTGATCCTCCTGCCTCAGCCTCCCGAGTAGCTGGGACTACAGGCACGTGCCACCATGCCCGGCTATTTTTCTATTTTTAGTAGAGACAGGGTCTCCCTCTTGCTCAGGCTGGTCTCAAACTCCTGGGCTCAAGTGATCCTCCTGCCTCAGCCTCCCGAGTAGCTGGGACTACAGGCACGTGCCACCATGCCCGGCTATTTTTCTGTTTTTAGTAGAGACAGGGTCTCCCTCTTGCTCAGGCTGGTCTCAAACTCCTGAGCTCAAGTGATCCTCCCACCTCAGCCTCCCAGATTGCTAGGATTACAGGTGTCAGCCACTGTGCCCGGCTGGTTTTTATAGTTTAAATACATTTGTTTACGTGAAAAAAATGATACTAATCAAAATAATGAGTAAATAATCGTGTGTAGGCATTATCTGGATGTGATGAAACCTGTGACGTCTGAAGTTTGAGGAAGACCTCCCTAGATAGTGCTTCTGCTTTCACTGCATCTGCAGCAGCTTTCTCAAAAAGAACAGAAGTCCCACTCACCTTGAGGTGCTGGATCATTTGCTCCAAAGGCACCTCTGTGATCAGACATATGTCCAGGGAGCCAGGAACTGCATGAGCGGCTTTGGGTTCAAATTCCTTTCCCACCTCATGGAGGTTAAATTTCTGGTCTCCAAAACACAGTGCTTTTCGGTCTTCCTAGAAATAAACCTCCAAAATGAATGTGAGCTAAAAGCCCCCCTACCTATTGTAACACGGTTTTAGAAAAAGAACAGGGCTACTAAACAACAGCCCCTTACCCCACCTAAGTCTCATTCTGTGAAGGCAACTGCTTTTAACATACGTGTGTATCTTTCTCCTCAAAATTATTTTCGTTTCTCCAAATAATATGTTTATACCACCCATGGCAGAGGAAGCAATTTACCCACCAAATATACATTTCTCCCCTTTTTCTTATAAACACAACCCAAATTTCAGTGGGGTCAACTGTGTGCCCAGCTTTAAAAACCTACATTTCCCAGCATTCCTTGTTAGGTGGCCGTGTAAGGGAGTCTGAGTTAGTTGGACTTGACAATGAGATGCAGGCAGAGGTGTGAGTGGGGCTTTGGGGACTCTCCCTGCCCCACTGAGCAGGCACTTTTTGCCCATTCACTTCCTGCTTCTTCCCAGCCATGCCCATACCCTGACCGCCTACTTCTGGACTGGTTGTTCAATGAAAGAGAAAGACAACTGTCTTATTTAACCCACCGGGCGTTGAGTTTTCTCCTATGTGCCTCCAAACACAACCCCTAACTAATGCACCACTATTTCTTGATTTAACAACTTTAGATATTTTCTATCATCTCCCTGCTATGATAAATGAGAATTTAGCTCATCTATATTACTACCTCTTCCAATAGAATTCTATTATCATTTTTAGTTCTTCTTTGGGCTCCTGTACAATTTTTTTTTTTGAGACAGATTTTCTCTCTGTCACCCTGAGTAGAGTGCAGTGGCATCATCATAGCTCACAGCATCTCAAATTCCTGGGCTCGAGTGATCCTCCTGTCTCAGCCTCCCGAGTAGCTGGGACTACAGGCACATGCCACCACACCCAACTTATTTTTCTATTTTTAGTTGAGACGGGGTCTCCCTCTTACTCAGGCTGGTCTCAAACTCCTGACTTCAGGTGATCCTCCCACCTCGGCCCCCTGAGTGCTAGGATTACAGGTGTCAGCCACCATGCCCGGCCCTTGTACAATTTTTAAATAACCCACTTGCTTGTTTGCTTTTTGATAGATCAACCACAAATCGTATCTCATGGCCCTGCCATCCTCTTCATGGAGCCTCCCTCTCCTGGACCTCTCAATGTTTGTCATTTCTTTAATACTTGTTCTATCTCTTTCTTTTATATTGCCGTGGTTGATACCACATCCATTCAATCAGAAAAATGACTTTATTTCATTTTTACTCTTGAATGATAGTATGGCTTAGCATACTATTCTAGGTTGCTGGTTATCCTCCCATAGCTTCATTGTCTTCCCTGAATTGGATATTGCTGATAAAAAGTCTGATGTTAATCTGCTCTTCATTCTTTTGTCAGTGATGCAGCCACCTTCCACTCCTGCAGCTTTAAGGATTGTTCTTGACCATACATGTTCTGAAATTTCACTCCAATGTGTCTAGGTGTGGGGAGTTGAGGCATTACATGCCTCATTATCGTCACTGGCCCATGCAAGGCCCGTCATTGTCTTTTTTATGCGTCTGTTCTTTTCCTCTCCATTCTCATCTCCACCTTAGGCAACAATTACAATGTGGTTTATTTTTTTATTTTTTTATTTTACCTCTGTAAGGACTCAATGATTTCCTAATCACAATGTGTTTGATGTGCATCTTTTGGATTTCATAAATTATTGTAAAAAGTGTGTTACTGTTTTATGTGAGTGTATTATAAATGGTACCATGCTGTAGACCTGATCTCTGTTTCTTCATTTTTCACTCAGCATGATTTTTTTTTTTTTGAGACAGAGTCTCACTGTGTTGCCCGGGCTAGAGTGCCGTGGCGTCATCCTAGCTCACAGCAACCTCAAACTCCTGGGCTC